GACTGCCTCTCTAGGACTAGGTTCCCAGCTCTGCCTCCAACCTGCCATGTAGTCTTGTCAAGCCACCTAGACTCTCCTATACTCTCATCTGGATATCAGTAAGGATAACACAGCTGCTTATGGATTATTAGGAACATGAGCTCATTCATTCATTCATTCATTCATTCATTCATTCATTCATTCATCAACCACGTATTTCTCCTTTCACTAGGGCGGGAGTGGAGATGACTCGGGGTGGAGACGTCTCTTAAGGGGTCCATGGTGGCCTGGGAAAGTAGCCATAAATTCCGGTCAGGAGATGGTGGAACATGTTCATGAGGTCTCAGAGAAGTGCAAGGGGCAGGGGGCAGGGGGCAGGGTCAGCTTCCTGGAGAAAGTGACGTCTGGGTTTCCAGGAATATGAGGCAGAGATGGGCATTCTGAGTTGAGTGAGATGGGGCTGTGAGGGGCAGGGATAAAGGTATCACTGCCATGGTCAGGGGGTGGAAAGCCAGGGCAGCCTACATTCTGACAGGAGAGAGGCAGGGCCCAGCGTGAGGGGATTAGGAGGCTCTGATGTCACACTCAGGGGGTTGACCTTGATCCTCTGGGCCAAGGGGAGGCTCTGAGGGTTTGAAGCAGCAATGATGTGTGACTGGATCTCCCTGGAGGCTGCTGGAGACAGACTGGGTTGGGCCTAGGGCCAGTGAGAGCGATTAGCAGGCTATGTTCTTTCACACCTCCATGCCTGTGAACATGCAGGGCCCCCCATCCAGGATACACTTTCTCCTTTCCTGCCTCGGCTGACTGCCATTGTCCTTTGCCATCACAGCTCAGGTATGTGTTCCTTCAAGAACCTTCCCTGATCTCTCCCAGCCTGAGGCGGGCTCCTTTCTCCACACTACGCACAGTCTGGGGCAGGCTAGCTCAAAAAGAAGAGTTTTGTTTGAATTGCATGGTGGTTTAAAAAGAACTTAAATTAGCTACTGACATTTACAAATAAGGAAGGCTCATGTCAAAACTCAGATATCCAGCTCTCTGGGCATGTTGGGAAGATCTGGCAGAAGTGGCTGGTATTCTACAAAGCAACCCTTAGTTGAAGCTGAAAAGTACCCTTCCCTTTCCCTAGGGCATAGGCTTGCCAGTGTGCCATAGTCCTCACCACTCCCTAATGTCTCTAGCAAGACTGAAGGTGACGCTCCGTTCCTATTTATAATCTCACTTGAACAAATGCTTCCCTTACAGATTTGAAAGGAAAGTACAACTCTTGCCCCTATGTCTACCATAAGAGGGGCAGATAGGCCAAGTGAATTCCTGTCCTTCCTCACTATTTAGTTCCCTGATGGAACTATGAGTGCATGAAAAACAGCCCAGAGAAGGAAGGAAAGGGTGTGGGCACAGGCAGCAGCATGAGGGTAGATAGTGTGAGGTTAGAAAGGAGGGTGTGGATCCTGCAACCGGAGGTGGTAGGTCCAAAGGTAGCAAGTTACCTTAATTGATCACAGTCAGTTACAGAACTAACTCCTTTTTCCATTCTATCGCCGCTTCTCATTACTGTACTTGACTAGTCTTTAAAAAAATAAAAAATAGAACCAGAGGGGCACAACAGCCAGAGGTTAAGGGCCTGGCTAGTCACAGTGAGGTCCACAGAACAGGAAGACTGGGATGCCTGGGAGCTGGCTGGACCTGCAGAATCTCAGGCCCTGCCCCAGACCTGCTGAATTAGAACCTGCACTTTAGCAAGATCCCACGGATGAGTCAGTGCAAGTTAACATTTGAGAAGTGAAGGCTACGAGAAAGGGCCTGGAGTCCGAATGCAGGCGTTCACATTCTCACTCTGACACTGACTGGCTATGTGACTTGGGGCAAGTTACATAATCTCTCTGTGTCTCTGTTTCCTTATCTGTAAAACTGAGTCTCAGCTTGTATTTTTCCAGTTCCCCCAAGGGTGGCCTGATACCACCTCCCAACGCCAGCAGCTGGAAGCTCTGTCCCTGGGGGCTATGAGAATGCAGTGTGAACCTGCCAGCAGGCTCCTGCTGCACACGCAAGGCCAGCAGGGCCTCCATGTATCCATTTTGCAACTTTAGGAACCAGGCTATTGGCAAACTGCTAAGCGCTTCCATCAACCCAGTGCCCAGTGGGGAACCAGCGCCTGTTACTTACGCCATCAGCTGTCCAGTAATTCCGAACCTTGATCTTGGCCAGACTGAAGTCCCCCAGCTGTCTTGTGTTTCGAATAACAAAAAACAGCTGGAGAGGCGGGCGGAAGGGGCAGGTCCATGGGGAGGAGTCTTTCTCATCCTAGAACGCCAGCAAGAGAGGGAAATCATTAGGCACATTTCTGCCTCTCCCCAAAGTAAAATGGCAGTGGCTCTTTGGCTCACGAAAACCAGGAGATGCCTGGTGAGGGCTCAGGGCAGGCAGCCAGGCCACCCCATTGCCATCACCCAGGCTGGGGACTCAGATCACCCTGTCTGGACGGCACTTCACAGCAGGCTACTGACCCCGTCCCACCCCCTGCACAAAGCTGCCACACGGACCCCTCTGATCTGCCAACCAGACGGAATTTAAAATGCAGCGGGCTTTATTTTAATCAACTTAATCGGCTTTGAGGAGAGCTCTGGGGGAGGGGAAAGACGCTAGAGAGAAGGACAGGACGCTATTTGATTAACCTGGCAAACAGAGCCTTTGATTTTCTTTTGTAAAACCCTGCCGAATTTTAAAATTTCTAAAATAGAAAAGAAAGAAAGCCACTGGCTCAGGCGTTGGCTGGGCCAGGGCCAGGGCACTGAGCCCTGGGATTTATTCTGTTCCTTTCTGGGTTTCCAAGCTTGGAGGCTTCAGTTTGCAGACTCCCCCTGACGGAGGCCCCAGGGGCAGGTGAACAGGGACGCCTTGCTGTCATTCTCATTCGCACCGACAAAATTGCATGTCATGAGTGCTTTGGGTGCAGATGGAAAAAGCCAAACTGGGGGACTTTTCTCAGCCCCAGCCACCTTTTCTTGGCTTTCTGCAATACCTATTCACTCTCCATTGGGATAAAACTCACAGCTGCTCCCAAACGTGTCCACGCTGGCTTGACCTGGTGCCTTGGCACAGGGTGGGCCTCTGCTTGCTTGCAATTCTCGCAATTCTCTTCCTAACCTTCTCAATCTGGGGAATTCAGCAAATCCAAGTGCCCTTGGCTCCTTGCAGTCCCCGAGCTTGGTGCCTACCTCGGGGTCCCACGATCATCTCTTTTCACGTCCATGTCATGCCCTCATTCAGCCGTGAGCTCAAGGGAAGGGGTCGTGTCTAGTTATTCCAGAACCCTAGGCTTTTAGCACAGTTTCTTGGCACATGGAAGATGCCAAAAAAAAAAGAAAACACAACTCTTTGTGTAATAAATAAATGACTAAGTGAATGCATAAATGGAGTGTGCCTCCTAACATCTGCCCTTTCACTAAAGCTTTAGGGAGGAGACTGTAGGCCAGGCGCGATGGCTCACATCTCTAATCCCAGCACTTTGGGAAGCAGATGGATCACCTGAGGTCAGGAGTTCGAGACCAGCCTGGCCAACTTGGCAAAACCCTGTCTCTACTAGTAATACAAAAATTAGTTGGGCATGGTGGGGCATGCCTGTAATCCCAGCTACTCAGGAGCCTGAGGCAGGAGAATAGCTTGAACTCGTGAGGTGGATGGTGCAGTGAGCCGAGATCATGTCATTGAACTCCATCTCCAAAAAAAACCCAAAAAACAAACAAACAGAGAACAGACTGTAAGCTGGATCTGGCTTGCAGGGGTATTTGTTTGGTTCATGCAATGTTAAAAAAAAAAAAAAACAAAACACAAATTCATTGCCAACATTTAAAAATGGGGAGATTCAGAGAGGTGCAGTAGCTCATACTTTTAATCCCAGTGATCTGGGAGGCTGAGGCAGGAGGATCGTTTGAGGCCAGGAGTTAGAGACCCGCCTAAGTAATATAGAGAGACCTTGTCTCTACAAAAAAATTTCAAAAATTAGCAGGGTATGGCAGTGTTTGCCTCTAGTTCTGGCTACTCGGGAGGCTGAAGTGGGAGGATCGCTTGAGCCCAGGAGTTTGGTATCACTGCACTCTAGCCTGGGCAACACAGTGAGACCTTGTCTCTAAGAAAAAAGGAAAAATATGAAGGCCGGGTGCAGTGGCTCACACCTGTAATCCCAGCACTTTGGGAGGCCGAGGTGGGTGGATCATTTGAGGTCAGGAGTTCAAGACTAGCCTGGCCAATGTAGTGAAACCCCATCTCTACTAAAAGAAAAAAAATACAAAATTTAGCCAGGCATGGTGGCGGGCCTGTAATTCCAGCTACTGGAGAGGCTGAGGCAGGGGAATCACTTGAACCCGGAAGGTGGAGGTTGCAGGAAGCCAAGATCGCACCACTGCACTCCAGCCTGGGTGATGGAGTGAGACTCTGTCTCAAAAATAGGTGGTGGTGGAGTGGGGAGATTTCTCCAAACAGCCAGATTTCTGGTGCCTCTGCAGACTCAGAAAACATGGCAGCTCAGGAGCCCTGATGGCCGTTTCCTGGAGCCAAGAGTGTGCAGCCCCTGAAGCCCGCCATTCCCCAGGGCTCCACGGTCCCCACCACTCCCTACTGCTTCACATCCACCTCGCTTCCCTCTTCTGCCTCTGCCTGGCCCCTGTAGGCACTGAGTCTGTGGTCCTTGTTTAGGGCAGCAGCAGCAAGTCCCATCTGCCAATAAGCAACCTCCGCGGGCCTGACACTGGCTGACTTGTCCCTTTTATCTCAAAGGGGCATCGCCCTGCATTTGAGAACATCTCGACAGACTCCCCGCCACCAGGAACGTGCCTGCTACTTGACAGAGCCAGGGAGGGAGGATTGGCTGATCTGGGGTTTGATCGGCCCCCAGGAGATGGGAGGCCCAGGCTCCAGCTGCGGTGGAGGACAAAGGGGGCTTGTTTCGGTGACAATGGTGCCTTTCAGGAGGGAGGAGGTGGCTTTTGTTAAGGGGGAACGATGAGTTCAAGGGGTTCTGACTTATTCTGGCAAGTTTCTCCAGCTCTACAAGAACTTCTAGTGCTCTGGGCAGCTGCGAGGGGTCAAGAAACCACATCCCCAAATCCAGCGGGTGAGTCTCATTCCTTTGCTCAGTGGGGGCCTAAAATGGGTCACTGTGGCTGCCTGACAAAGGAAGAGACTGATGGCTGACCCTTAGATGTGGGCTAGGGGACTGTAATTGATTTCCCTTCACATTTCTGTCAGCAGGAGGAGTAACAGGAGGCCTAAGTGGGAATTGTGGTGTTCAAAGTCAAAGAACATTAACCTGAGGATAACTCTGGGCCTCATCATCACCCCAGCCTTCTGATGTTTTCTCTCCACAGACAGGATCTCAGAAAGAAAGGCTTATGGGAAGCTGCCCAGGACTGACCTGGCACATGCTGGGAAAACCCCTCGGTGCCAGGGCAGGAGGCAGAGCATCTGCGGCTCCTCCCTCCCCATCACAGGGGGTAAGGAATACAGCAGAACGGGAATCGGGTGCCTTCATGCTGCTGTTACTGCCCTTGGTTCTGGCTTCTTTCACTTGGAAACCCCAGGAGGTGGGCATTGCTGTAATGCATGTGCTACTGACCAAAACAGGCCAAAGCTCAGCGAGGGGTGGGATCGTCTAAGGTTGCTTAGTGCCTACGTGGTGGAGTGAGGAGCTGAACCTCCATCTTTCATGCATTAATTCATTCTGTCTCTGGATTCCCCTGAGGCAGACCCTGAGGCAAGGATCCATGTGTAAGTAGCTTATTTAGACAGAGCAGAAAATATCAATGGGAGAGTGAAGAAGTGAGACAAGGCAGGGAAGGTGGCTCATAAAGGGTATGTTATGAAGACAGCTGCTCCTGTGGGCAACTAGAGCTTAATCCCCCCAGGGAATCTGGGAGCCAGGGTGGAACAGGCGCCAGAGTGACTGCACCAACGGGGCCAGGGAGCTGGGGTATTTATACCCCAACTTCCACCAATGTTGGTTGAGTGCTGCTCCTGGGGGTTCTCTATTTCTCTCTGTATGGGTGGTAAAGTGGGTCCTGGAGGCCAAAAAAAGAATCCTCCAGGAAAGAAATCTCAATGCTGCCATTCAGAAAAGCAGTCAGCATGCCCTGAAGTGCTAGGGCAAAAGGGTGGAAGCAGGCACGGACACATCTACTCCATAACTTGCCCAACAAACACTGTACAGGGTCCCTCCTGGGGGACTGATGCTGAGCCAGACACTGGGCATGTGCAAGGGAACCTGACCCACCAGATCCTAGTAGCTCTGTGCTATGAGGGAAGGCAAACAGGTAATGTTTCCAAGAAAAAAAAAATCAAGCAGGGACACATTCTAGGAAAAAAAATAAGAGAGAATTATTCATGGCCCATGGAACAGCTATTTTAGAAGGGATGGTTAGAGAAGGCTTCTCTGAGAAGGTAACTTTCTAACTCCTAAACCAAAGGTGCCTTTTTAACTCCAGCATTAACATAACACTGAATAGTAACCCGCAGGGAGATAGTGCACTGCCCTCAGAAGTAGCTCCAATTTAATAAATTATTGCATTAAAAAGGAATAAACTATTGACACACACAACAATATGGAAGGATGTCAAGGGCATTACACTGAGTAAAAAAAGCGAGTCTCAGAAAGGTTACTGACTTTAGTAATGATATAAATGCTATATAAATGGTATGATTTCATTTACATAGCATTCTTGAAATGACAAAATGTATGTAGAGGAACAAATCAGTGGTTTCCATTGTCAGGACTGGGCTCGGGGAAGTATGGCTGTACAGGAGGAGCCCAAGGGAACTCCTTGGTGGTGATGGAACTGGTCTGTATCTCGATGTCTGTATCTTTAGAAAGAAATCTATATATGTGATAAAATTGCATAGAACCATATACATGTATACACAAGTGAGTGTATGAAGGTCTGTACATTATACCAATGTCAAGGTCCTGGTTTTGATTATGTACTACAGTTACATAGGATTTACCACTGGGGAAAACTGGGTAAAGGTGTATAAGATTTCTCTGTTCTTTTTTTTCAAAATTGAGATATAATTCACATAGCATAAAATTCGCCATTTTAAAGCATTCAGTTCAGTGGTGTTCACAAGGTTCAGTACATTCACAAGGTTGTGCAACCATTACCATTATCTTCTTCCAGTACATTTTCACCACCCCCAAAAGATAACCATGTTCATTAGCAGTCTCTCCCCATTCCTGCCTCCTCCCAGCCCCTGGCAATGACTAATCTACTTTCTGTCTTCAGATTTGCCTATTCTGGACATTTCATATAAATGAAATTATACAACATATAGCCTTCTGTGTCTGGCTTCTTTCACTTGGCATAATGTTTTCAAGATTCACCCAGGTTGTAGCATGTAGCAATGCTTCTTTCCTTTTTAGGGCTGAATAATATTCCATTTTGTGGAAATACTACATTTTCTTTACAAATTCATTGATGGACATCTGGCTGTTTCTATTACTTTTTGGCTATTCTGAATAATGCTGTTATGAACATACATGTACAAGTTTTTTGGTTTTTTTTAAATAAACGTATGTTTTTAGTTATCTTGGGTATATACCTAGGAATGGAATCGCTAGGTCATGGGTAACCCTACATTTACCTTTTTGAGAAATTGTTAAGTTGTTTTCCACAGGGGCTGAGCCATTTTACATTTCCACAAGCAAAGAATGAAGGTTCCAGTTTCTCCACATGCTCATCAATACTTATTTTCTCTTTTTTTTAAAAAAAAATTACAGCTATCCTAGTGTGTGTCAAGTGATATCTCATTGTGGTTTTGATTTGCATTTCCCTAACAACTTATGATGTTAAGTATCTTTAATGTGCTCACCAGCCATTTGTACATCTTTTTTGGAGAAATGTCTATTCAAAGTCATTTGGCCATATTTTAATTGGGTTGTTCATCTTTTTGTCATTAGGGTTTTTTTTTCTTTGTATATTCTGAATATTAGACCCTTATCAGATATACGATTTGCAGATATTTTCTCCTTTTTGTAGGCTGTATTTTTACTTTCTTGATAGTGTCATCTGAGGGAAAAATGTTTTTAATTTTGATGAAGTCTGATTTATCTTTTTCCTTTTTTTGGTTGCTTGTGCTTTGGATGTCATAGCTAAGACTTCATTGACAAATTCAAGGCTATCAAGATTTACACCTTTGTCTTCTTCTAAGAGTTTCAAAGTTTTAGCTCTTACATTCAGGTCTTTGATCCATTGAGTTAGTTTTGCATAAGGCATATGGTGGAAATCTACCTTCATCTTTTCGCATGTGGAAACGCATTTGTCCCAAGGCCATTTTTTGAATGACTATGCTTTTCCCATTGAACGGTCTTGGTATCCTTGTTGGAATCAATTGACTATAAATCCATGGGTTTACTTCTGGATGCTCAGTTCTATTTCATTGATCTATATGTTTATCCTATGCCAGTACCATGCAGTCTTTATCACTGTAGAGTTGGTAGTATGTTTTGAAATTGAAGTGTGAGTTCTACTTTATTCTTTTTCAATAATATTTTAGCGCTCTGAGTCCTTTGAAATTCCCCATAAATTGTAGAATCAACTTGTCAACTTGTACAAAGAAGTCAGCTGAGATTCTGATAGCAATTTTGCTGAATCTGTAGGTCATTTTGGGAAAGTATTACCATCTTGACAATGTTAAGTCTTCTGATCCATGAACATGGGATGCTTTTCCAGTTTCTTAGATCTTAGATTTCTTTCAACAATGTTTTGTAGTTTTCAGAGTATACATTTTGTACTTCTTTTGTTAAATGTATTCCTAAGTATTTTATTCTTTTGATGCTATTGTAAACATAATTGTTTCTTAATTTCATTTTCCCTTGTAATCCTTTTTACTTCTGTAAGGTCAATAGCAATGTTCTCTCTATCATTCTTGATTTTAGTAATTTTAATCTTCTCCCCCATCATTTTTTGGTTAGTCTAGCTAACGGTTTGCCAATTTGCTAATCCTCTCAAAGAACCAACTTCTGATTTCATTGACTTTCTCTATTGTTCTTCTGTTTTCTGTACTATTTTACAACTTCCTGTGAGTCTAAAATTATCTCCAAATAAAAAGTTTAAAAATTGTAAGCTTAAACAACAACAACAACAAAAAACTGTAAGCTATGTTTCCGTTTAAAAAAACAAAAATAATATGTATGGCACATTTTTATGTATTGGGGATATAGTGTAAACAGGACAGACAAGAATTTTCAGCTAAACTGGGGAGACATAATATACATGTAAACAAGATCATTTCTTACAGTGAGATGTGCTCTGAAGAAATGAAAAATGGTGATGTGATAGTGACCAGGGTGTGAGGGAACAGGACTCCTCCAGATCGTTGGGTGAGGGAAAGTCTTGCTGAGAATGTGATATTAGGGCTGAAATCTGAATGTGGAGAAGCAACGTGAAAAGCTGGAGGAAGAGGGTTTTGGAGAGGTAGGAATGAGGTTGGTGGGTTGGAAGAAGAGATGGCAGGCCCAAGGCTGCTGGAGCCTGGGTGTGAAGCAGGGGTGTGTGAAGCAGGCAGAGGGGGAAGTGGAGGCCTGTTCACAGAGAGTCTCCAGGCCATGGGAAAGCACCTGGGCTTTATTTCCAAGGGTAACCAGAAGTCACAGTGGACATGTTTTAAGTAGGAGAAGGGCACAATCATATATATATATATATACACACACACACACACACACTCACATATATATATACACACATACACATAAATATACATACACATACATGTTAATTTTTTTTAATTAATTTTTTTTTGGTAGAGGTAGGGTCTCACTATGTTGCCCAGGCTGGTGTCAAACTCCTGGCCTCAAGTGATCTTCCTGCTTTGACTTCCCAAAGTGCTGGGATTATAGGTGTGAGCCACTGTGCCCAAATGTACCATCCCCATGATTCAATTATCTCCACCTGGCCCTGCCTTTGACAAGTGGGTATTTTTACAATTCAAGATGAGATTTGGGTGGGGACACAGTCAAACCACATCAATCCCCAATACATGAAAGTGTAATATGTATGTGTGTGTATACACACACACACACACACACACACACACACACACACACACATATTATTATTATTTTTACTTTTTATTTGGAAATAATTCTAGACTCATAGGAAATCCATAATTTCCTAGGGCAGTCAAGGAAGATTGTGGTACATCTAAGCCAACAGCAATGCTGGTTACTGAACAAGAAATACTGGAGGAAGAAGTGATGTGGGGAAGAGGGCAGGGGAATCAAAACTTAAGTTTTAAATCTCTAAACTTAAGTTTTAAATGGGCTGGGTATGGTGGCTGATGCCTGTAATCCCAGTGCTTTGGAAGGCCAAGGCAGGAGGATTGCTTGAGGTCAGGAGATCGAGATTAGCCTGGGCCACATAGTGAGACCCCATCTCTACAAAAAATATAAAAAATTAACCAAGTGTGGTAGTGTGTGCCTGTAGTTCCAGCTTCTTGAGAGGCTGAAGTGGGAGGGTGGCTGAGCCCAGGAGGTCGAGGCTGCAGTGAGCAATGACTGCACCACTGCTCTCCAGCCTGCGCGACAGAGCAAGGCCCTGTCTCTAAAAATAATAATAATAATAACGAAGTCTGAGATGGCCAGGAGAGATCCAAGAGATGTCAAGCAGGAAGTTGACAATCACGTCAGGAACTCAGAGGGGCAGGCAGGGCTGGGTGTATAAATCTGGAGTCATCTTGAGGCCTTGGGCTGGGATGCAGCCAGTAAGAGACACGGTGCGGGTGCAGAAGGGAGGAGTTTCCATAGAGGCTGGGGCACTCCCACATTTTTTGAATGCCCCAATTCACCTCCACTGAAGCCTTTTCTCTTTCAAACCCAGCCTCTGCTTCTAGGTACCTCGGCTGTCGGGTGGGCTCCATTAGCCATGCTCTACGGCCTGAGGCAAGTGCCTCTTCCTCACTGCATCTTGATTTTTCTCATTGATAAAATGGGGAGAGTCATCCCAAGGTTCATGTGAGGGTTAAACGAGGCGATGCACCAGGCTATGGCAGCCACACGCTGGTGCAATTAGATGGTTCTGAGAGGCAGTGTGCTCCGGTAGCCCCGGGCCTGGGACCCAGGATGCAGGGAAGCCCCGCATCAGGGAAGAAGGGGGAATCCAGCGTTCCTGCAGATGAGCCCAGAGACCCAGCAGCCCAGGGTGACACAGCTGCCTCATGTCCCAATCGCAGGGCCAAAAACCAAAAACCTCAAATCCACCAAAACCGTGGGTCATCACACGGCAAAGTGCCCCAGTCTCTGCTAAACAGAAGAAAGGGAGAGCAATCATCAGAATTGGTCCCCATCAAATCCAACGATGCTTTTTATTGTCCCTAGTGTGCTCTGTTCTGGAGAGCAGGCTTCCAAAATGCCACTGCTTTCCGCAAGAGCGGGGTAGGGGAGGGGTGGCGAGGGCTGGCCCAAGTCCCAGCAGCAAGCATGGGAGCCTAAAGACTTGAATCTGGAGGCAGCACAGGGATAGGCCAGGCCACAGCGCCCAGGCGGCCGTTATCCACAGCTCAGGGACTGCATCTTTCGAAGGCTGAGATCACAGAGCTGCTGATCTAGAAGGGGACTCAGACCTACCCAGTCCAAGCCTGGGGACAGCTGTTGCTTCTTAGCTCTGTAGCATCCAGCTTTCTTTTAGTGGCGATCTTGAATTTCTTAATTTTTATTTTTATTTGTGACATACATTACACATTTTCTAAGCAATCTTGAACTCCTTCAGGGAGAATCCCTTCCTGCCCCGCTGGGGCATCTTGGTGGAACTGGCATCAAGATGTCCTGCCCTAGTCAGGTTTGTCCATCAGCCTTCCTTTCCTGAGACTATTTCCAGCAGAGGGTGGTGAGGACAAACCAACCAGCCAACCGACACTGTCGAGGCATCTCAATCATGGTGGCTGTATGAACTAAGGGAATGAAGCTTTATCCTTTTCTCCATCTCTCCTTCTCATTTTGTTCCCTTCTCTGAAAGCAGCCCCCATCCTTGAGTTATGACCCAGTTTAGGACGTAAGTTAGTCATGGTTTCGGATGCCATGGAAGTGACCACTCACACAAAGGCCAAAACAGTCAACTCTCTAAGTAGGACAGCACAGTCTCCCCCAGAACCTCAAGTCCAAAGAGAAGAATCTTTCCAGAAGAATCTCACATCCTCCTGTTTATCTCCCACCCCCAAAAGAAGACCACACCCGTGGTGGCCAGCATTCCAGGATGCTCCCTAAAACCCCAACTTTCCTACAAAGCCCGTCCTCTCCCAGCCTGCATGGCAGTGAGTACACTAGCTACTCAAAAGACTTGAAACACACTTACTTTTTAAACATGTGCTAACTGAGCTGGACTCGGTTTCTGCTGCTGGAAATCTAAGAATCCTAAAAGATGATTGACCCAATCTCCCATTTTTCAGCAGGCAGAAAAATCCACTCTCAGAGAAGGCAGGTAAGTTGCCGAGGCCAGAGTCAAGACCAGAATCTGGGTCTCTAGAACCAGACATTTCAAACACCCCTTTTCTTGTTTCCTCTTCTTTAAAATGGGAATAACACTAACTACTTTTCCCAGTGGTATTAATACTGTTAATAATAACAATAACAGCAAAGGCTGGGCATGCTGGCTCATGTCCGTAATCCCAGCACTTTGGGAGGCCGAGGTGGGAGGATCACTAGAGGCCAGGGAAACCAGCCCAGGCAACATAGTGAGACCCCGTCTCTATAAAAAATTTTACAAAATTAGCCAGATGTGGTGTTGTGTGCCTCTAGTCCTAGCTATTTAGGAGGCTGAGGCAGGAGGACAGTTTGAGCCCAGGAGTTCGAGGCTGCAGTGAGCTACGATCACGCAATAACAACATCTTCCCAGGTCTCTGAGGAGATAATTATGAATGAAGCTGAGGCCCAGCATAGCAAAGATGATGTGGCTGGCTACTCTGGCTCAGTTTAGCTCACAGTCTCTTGTGTCCAACTTGCAAGTTGCAGGAAGAAAAAAATGCCAGTATCCTCCCCCATCTTTTTTTTTTTTTAATTCTGTTGTTTGTTTGTTTGTTTATTTATTGAGACAGAGTCCTGCTCTGTCGCTCAGGCTGGAGTGTAATGGCACGATCTTGGCTCACTGCAACCTCCCCTCCCAGGTTCAAGCGACTCTCCTGCCTCAGCTCAAGTAGCTGGGACTACAGGTGTGTGCCCCAACGCCTGGCTAATTTTTGTATTTTTGGTAGAGACAGGATTTCGCCATGTTGGCCAGGCTGGTCTTGAACTCCAGGCCTCAGGTGATCCGCCCACCTCAGCCTCCGAAAGTGCTGGGATTACAGGTGTTGGCCACTGTACCTGGCTCTGTTGGATATTTAAAGGAAAGAAACATTTATTTTTATTTTTATTTATTTATTTATTTATTTTGAGACGGAGTCTCGCGCTGTCGCCCAGGCTGGAGTGCAGTGGCGCGATCTCGGCTCACTGCAAGCTCCGCCTCCCGGGTTCACGCCATTCTCCTGCCTCAGCCTCCTGAGTAGCTGGGATTACAGGCGCCTGCCACCACGCCCGGCTAATTTTTTGTATTTTTAGTAGAGACGGGGTTTCACTGTGGTCTCGATCTCCTGACCTTGTGATCCGCCCGCCTCGGCCTCCCAAAGTGCTGGGATTACAGGCTTGAGCCACCGCGCCCGGCCAAGAAAGAAACATTTAACGTTTGTGGAGTGTGCACCTCACGACCTAGGGCAGCAGGGTCCTGAGGGAGTGTGGGCAAGGGTCCCTGGCCCAGGCTGCCTGATATGAACTTGGCTCCACTACCTTCCACCTGCATGACCTTGGCCAAGTCAATGCCCTTCTCCAAGCTGTAGTTTCTTCAACTACAAAGAACAACCATTAACCTTAATGACTCCTGAGGTCCAGTGTTTGATGGTGACTGGAAAACTGCAAGGTGGATAAAAGAAGGTGAATTGGCTCCCCCAAGAAATACCCACAGAGCAGGGGCTGGGAAACAGCTTAGGGAGAGAGTGTCTGGGGCCTCTGCCAGCACCGCTCCCTCAGGCTCCTCTCCAACTTTGCCCAAATGAATAACTCTGGTAGATTTATTTAATTTTTTTTTTTTTTTTTTGAGACAGTCTCATTCTGTCACCCAGAGTGCAGTGGTGCAATCTTGGCTTACTGCAATCTCGGCTTACTGCAACCTCTGCCTCCTGGGTTTAAGTGATTCCCCTGCCTCAGCCTCCAGAAGTAGCTGGGATTACAGGCATGTGCCACCACGCCTGGCTAATTTTTGTATTATTAGTAGAGATGGAGTTTCACCATGTTGGCCAGGCTGGTCTCGAACTCCTGACTTCAAGTGATCCACCCGCCTCGGCCTCCCAAAGTGCTGGGATTACGGGTGTGAGCCACCATACCCGGCCTATTTTTGGTTGTTTTTAGAGACAGGGTCTCACCCTGTTGCTCAGGTTGGAGTGCAGTGGTACAATCACAGCTCACTGCAGCCTCAATCTCCCTGGGCTCAGGAGATCCTCCCACCTCAGCCTTCCATGTAGCTGGAACTACAGGCATGAGCTATGATGCCTGGCTAATGTTTTGTGTTTTTTGTAGAGACAGAATTTTGCCTTGTTGCCCAGGCTTGTTGTGGTCTTGAACTCCTGACCTCAAATGATCCGCCTGCCTCAGCCTCCCAAAGTGCTGGGATTACAGGTGTGAGCCTCCGTACCTGGCCAGATTTTGTTGTTCTTCTCCTCCCTCCACTCATACCCTTAACACAGATTTATCAAGGGCAGAGAAAATGCATGGGAATACACAGCCAAGAAGCAATCCAGTGTCCCCTCTACTCACAGCTAAGTTCCTGTTGACGAGGCGGCCCAGCTCCCCAGGTGTGGCTGTGTTCCGGATATCCACGTCGTGGGGGGACACATAAAGCTTTGTGTCATTCAGGTCAAAGAACTCGACTTCTGTGAGACCCACCCACCACGAGTTGCCCCAGTTGGACAGGATCTCCATGGTCACGTAGATGGCATCTTTGATCTCGTCTGCCCTTGTTCTCTGTTTGTCCTTAAAGAAGAGAAAAATAACACCAAAGGATTAAGTCATGACAGGCTTGAATTCGGCTCTACCTCTGCTACCACTGCCTTCAAAAAGTTAGTTAACCTTCAGTGTCTCAGTCTCTCCATCTGTACAATGAGGATAAGAATAGCACCCACTACCTATGGTTATTCCCATGATCAAATGAATTCATACTGTAAAGCATTCAAAATAGAGTCGCTGTGTGACTGGCACTCTGTGAGCATTCTGTTTGAGAGTTTAGAAATACATAAAAATGTCTAAAAAGCATTGAATTCTGCCTAAGCACGCACATCTCTCCCCCACTACTCAGTGTTCGGTACCCAGAAGCTTGTCACGACATCTGCTGAACTGAGTAGGTGTTACAGGCTGAGGCTGGGCATGGGGGCTCACGCCTGTAATCCCAGCACTTTGAGAGGCCAAATTGGGAGGATTCCTTGAGGCCAGGAGTTCAAGATCAGCCTGAGCAACAAAGTGAGATCCTGTCTTTACAAAATTTTTTTTTTTTTAAATGAGCTGGGCACAGCGGCACATGCCTGTAGTCCCAGCTACATAGGAGGCTGAGGCAGGAGGATTGTTTGAGCCCAGGTGGTTGAGGCTGCAGTGAGCTGTGTTCGCACCACTTCACTCCTGGGTGAAAGACCTAGTCTCAAAAAAAAACAAAAAAACAAAAAAAAGGTTATAGGCTGAATTTAGCCCTTTCAAATTCATCTGTTGAAACCCTAATTCCCAGTACCTCAGAATATGACTGTATTTGGAGATAAGGCCTTTAAATAGGTGATTAAATTGAAATGAGGCTGGGGGGAGGGTGGGCGGGCACTAATCCAATCTAGCTGGTGTCCTTGTAAGAGGAAAGCTGGACACACAGAGAGACACATCAAGGATGCACACACAGAAAAAGGCCATATGAGGGCAAAGCAAGAAGGCAGCTGTCTGCAAGTCAAAGAGAGAGGCCTCAGAACAAACCAAACCTGCCAACACCTTGATCTTGGACTTCCAGCCTCCGGAATTGTGAGAAAAGAAATCTCTGTTGTTGAAGCCACCCCATGTATGGTATTTTGTTATGGCGGCCCTAGAGGACTGATATAGTAGGAAACATGGCCCCCTGGCCTTGGACAAGTCACTTGACATCCCTCGGCCTGGCTGGAGAAGATGACATGACACCATCTATGTGATAATCCTGTCACAGACGTTAAACAGGATATCAATACCTAAGAAGGCCCTATCACGAGCCCCGGCCCTGGGTGCGCTCCGTAAGTGTCTGTTTCTTTCTGTTTCTCTCCTTCATTGGTTTTAATGCCTGCCTCCTTCCTGCGTCGGCTGTCTGCTCTGAGAGCCTGCGTGAATGCCATCAATAAACGGCCACCCTTCGGAATGGCTTCCTGAGGCCCTCCGGGGCTGACTGCAGCACTGGTCGCCACGGATCAGTCACTCACAAAATGGTGCATTCCCCGCGTGCACATGCCCTCTGTTAATTAGCACGGGTAATCTGCAATGGTTCTGTGAGCAGGGAGCCGAGCAAATGAACAGCAACTGTTCCCCACTTACTTTTTTAATTAATAGCCAGCGAGACGTGCTATCGCTCTCAGTGTGTGTTTGGAGGGGCCTTGATTGCCACATGGTGGGAACGTGGATAGGGAGGAGGGAGAGAGGTCAGCTCACAGCTCCCGGATGAAAGACAGGGCCTGTTTTGATCAGCTGGCTCCTCGGAACCCACAGCTTCCTCCTTCTGCTTCACAGCCATGTGGTGTCCTGGCCAAGCCCTCTGCTGCCCTGGGTCTGAGTCCCAGGCATGCAGGACCCTGATAAAGCTAAACTGGCCTAGCTGACTCCAGGGGACAGGGAGGTTAATAAGCTTGTGCTTGTGTGGAGCGATCCAGGACCAGGTAAGCAGTCAGTCTGGGGGCTGCTGAAGAAGTAGCACTGGTCACCTTGCTTGCTGGTGGGAGGCAGGAGGGCCAGATGGGAGGAAGACCAGATGGGAGGCAGGCTGCCTTTCAGAGGGGCTGCTAGAACTCCCACCCAGTGCAATCTGAAATGTGCAAATTCCTCAGCTGTGTTGGTAAATGAAAAAGCTGAAGAATCTATTAACTAAGCAACTGTCACAACTTGTCTGTTGCTACTCAGTGGCTCCTCCTGCTTCTGTACTGCCCAATTTGGGATCCTGCTTGGCGGTGGGAGGGGGACACTGGCTGGGCAGCTCCTGGCCCCTGTCATTCATTGTCCCTGCTCTTGCTGAGACCACTTGATTTTCCTTGGGGGGAAGCCACGGCGTCTCTTTTCTCAGCCATAAAGAATAGGGGGGCTGACCCTTTCCCACTCCAGGGAGGGGCCTGACTGGTCCAAGGAAGCACAGGTAAGCACGCTGGCACAGGTCAGTGCAAGCACGCCAATCACAGACTTACATGGTGAGAAACGGGCTTCCCTCCTGACAGTGGAGTCTGATGATACAGGGGTGCAAGGTAGAACCATTCTAGCTATTTGGGGACCATGAGGAGGGAGCAGAGATGGGACTGAGCTGCAGCGGGTGAAACTGAGCTTTCCACTGTGCAGACAGAGGGGAAAGACACAGTGGGAGCTGCTGGACCAGGCCCCACCTGGCCCTCCCTGTGTCATTTTCAATGAGAAGAGTCTGTCATTTTTCTTCTCTTTGTTGTATAAGTCAGTTTGCCCTGGATTTTCTGTCTCCCGTAATATAAGGAGACTTGGCCGGGTATGGTGACTCACAGCTGCAATCCCAGCACTTTGGGATGCTGAGGTAGGAGGACTGCTTGAGCCCAGAAGTTCAAGACCAGCCTGGGCAACACAGCAAGGATTCATCTCTACAAAAAAATTTGTTTAAAGTAGCCAGGTGTGCTGGGGGGCCACTGTAGTCCCAGCTACTCAGGAGGCCGAGGCGGGAGGATCGAATGAGCAAGGAGTTCAAGGCTGCATTGAGCTGTGATCACACCCACTGCACTCCAGCCTGGGAAAAACAGCAAGGCCCTATCTCTAAAATTAATTAATTAATTAATTAATTAAATTAATACAAATGAAGAAACTATTCCATGCAGTGGGGAGCCCAGCTTTGATTTTTCTCGGTGAACTCTCGGCAGATATTTGCTGGTCTCTCCCTGCACTGAGCTGCATGCTCTCAGAGACCTTTCCTGTTTCATCCTCACAGTGGCCTGTGGGGCATGGATTATTGACCCTATTTGACAGCCAGGACCAGACAGCTTAAGAGGCTTATCTAAGGTCACACAATCTCTCAATGAATGCCACAGATTCAAAGCTGGAACTCTAGTCCAGACCAGGCCAGCTCAGGGGCCTTTCTGCTCTCACAGGATTTTATATGTGGCTTTGGGAGGACTTCGCATTAAGTCCTCACTGGCCAGTAGTAACACTGGTGACCACCACACCAAATAATACTAAGAATGGCGTGGGTGAAGGTAGGGGCAGAAGGATGTACTGGGACACACACCTTTCAGCACGAAAGAAAATGGAGGCCGGGTGTGGTGGCCCATAATCCCAGCACTTTGGGAGGCCGAGGTGGGTGGATCACTTGAGGCCAGGAACTAGAGACCCAGCCTGGCCAACATGGCAAAAACCCATCTCTACTAAAAATACAAAAATTAGCTGGGCATGGTGGCGCATGCCTATAATCCCAGCTACTCAGGCGGCTGAGGCAGGAGAATAGCTTGAACCTGGGAGGCAAAAGTTGCCATGAGCCAAGATGGCGCCACTACACTCCGGCCTGGGCGACAGGGCAAGGATCTGTCTTAAAAAAAAAAGAAAAGAAAAGAAAGAAAATTGAATCGCCGTTAATCCTATCACTCTGATGCCCCAGTTCCCTTCTGTATTTTGTGTCCTAGCTCCATCAGCACACTCATATGGCCACATCTTTGCGTGGCTGTTGCAATCCTATTGGACTTGAAGATTAACATCACCTTTTACAGTTAGGCTGATATCGCTAACATTTCTTGTCTGCATCGTCTCATAATGATAGCTTCCATCCTTTCATACTACTGCATCGTGCTGATGTATCATACTTTTCCCGATTAACTCCATTGTTATAAGACATTTAGGTTTTTAAAAAATGTCTTCCCTACTTCCAATAATTCTGTAACAGACATCTGTGTGCCTCTAGCTTCTTAGTTCTGTGGGGTGATTTCCTTAGATAAGGAAGCGGGATTGTGGGGCTGAAACACTCTGAGAAGTGTTTCTCAGGCTCTTCCTAAGGTCAAGCATTCTGTTTTCCAAGAGGGTTTTACCTGTTTATACAGCTGCCTGCCACATATGTGTGGCTGCCACAGCTTTATTGTAACCTTGCTAGCACTAGAGGTTATCCTCAGAAATAATTTGTCAATTCAGAGAGCAAATGGGACATTTAGGTTGTTGTAATTTGCGTTTCTTGATTGCCAGCGATGTTGGACATTTTCCTATGGGCTTTCATGCTATTTATGTTTCCTCTTGTGCAGACAGGTTTCTCTCTGCTGAAACTTTTGGCCCACATCTTCCTTTCTCTGCTCCTGCTCTTCATCATATATACCTCTGTGTGCCGGGGATGGGGGGAGATGGAGACACAGGCAGAGAGATGCTCATTTAACCACTGTCAGAGCAATCCCCACCGATGCGAAATGACTGTTCTGAGGGAACCTTCCTGAATGTAGAACTGAAAATCAAGTCAAGGCTCTCACCTCTGCGTCTGATACTTGCTCCTTGGTTGGTGAAACCACCCTGCCGAGATGGGCAGAGTCACTTTCGACGGCCTGGAGGACTTTCAGAAGCTTCTGCTGTTGTCTGAAATGGGATTTGGTTTTAGCAAACAGGTAGTAGTAAATGATACACAAAAGAGAACATTCCCATTAAAAGTGCCACACTGACATTTCCTTCTCGGGAACAGGAAATGAAGAGGAAGTATGCACTCTGTATCCAGTTCAAAGGCAAGGGCAGGCTTGCTGTTTTTCTCCCTTTATAAATGGCTATACAATTAGCGATGGAATCAGAGCCCAGCTGGGGACACACTGCTTGGGGCAAGGCAGCCAGCTGACCTCCCTAAGCTTTGAACTTGAGAGTCAAGAGCAGTGGTCAGCCGAACTAAGGCCTACGGGTCAAATCCAGCCCGTGGCCTGTTTTTGTACAGCCTGTGAGCTAAGAACGGTTTACATTTTTAAAAGGTTGTACAAAGAAACAACTATAACAACAACAAAACCAACTGCAAAGCATATTTACTATCTGGCCCTTTACAGCAACAATTTGCTGACTCCTGGGCTGGAGATCTGCTCTGCTCCTCTTG